AATAATGTAACTATATTGAAAGACACTGATGACTTTTAAAATGTCTATATGACATAGTTATATTTAATGCTTAAACACCCACCCATAGTTAGTGCTAATAACAAAATTACTTCAAAAAAATTGCCTGAAAATATAACTCATTAAAKTTCATCGTTCAATTGAAAATTTCAGTTATTATATATTAACATTATTATATGTTTTTTWAAAAAATTGTAAATTTTATATATGAGCTGTGAAAAGATTAAATTGTTTTCCATCGGGTTTATATCGGGTTACACCACTCTCCCCCTAATTTGTAATACGTATAATTAAAATTAATACCACTATAAAATAATATATAAACTTTTGTATATTTATGTTTCAAAATACTGTTGGTCGTAGCTAATTTTACATAATCGTAAATCGTAATATTATATAAAGCGTAAAAAAAAACTCCGTTTGGACGRCATTTTCGGGGTCAAGATCGAGTGTCGTTAGTTCATTTGCCCTGATTACAACATAAATATATCATTCATAATTTCACTATATAATATTTTACCATCGACGGTTATGAAAATTGCAGTAAGTGAGACGTAACCACGAATTAATTATACACGCGCACACTAAGTTATTAATATGATATATATATATATATTTTACATATAGAATTATTTCTTATAAGTTACCTTTATATTTATTCTATTTTACAAGTCACTACGACGTTTTGATGAATAAATCATAGTATACAAGAATATTATGAGTTACACCATTGACACGAATTTGGCGGCCCACCAGCTACCCGACGGCTTTCTTTCCAATACTTCCGACTTCCTATGCGTGCTGTTCGACCGGCCCAAAAAAGTAAATATTTAGAACAAAATACATATCATTTATCCAAGACGGGTAAGTTAATGGTGACTACCTATTAACTTGAATTAATAAGTCATATGAACATAATATCGATGAAAGTTGATGAAGTTGTAATATATAGGCAATTAAAAATAATTCATTTAACTCGCCAATCTTAAAGTTAATATGGACAAAAAATTACATTAAATCAGATCTCAGAATATTGTTACCTTTACAACWATAAATAGTATGTGTATCACATAAATAATATTTTTCTACAATCCATGCATGATTTTATATTATCAAGAAACATAACAGTAGTTATATTATAGTATTTGATTATATTTACAAAGTATAGTTCAATTCTAAGTAACTTTAATTTAAAACCCTAAATACGAGTACAATAATTTATATGCATATGAAACCATCAAAACACAGACTCACGGCTGGATTTAAGCAATCGATTTTGTGCAAACAATCATTTACTATATACCATTTCCTTGTATTGTAATACAACATAGACTATAATAATTGTAAACAGGACAAAAAAAATCAAGTTCACTTGCGTTCAGTTACAATTAATATTATATAAGCAATTTATAMACTTTTATAGAAGTTATCGTTCGAAAAATATTATTTTTATTATCTCCACTTCYCATTCCTTCAGCCGTCGTAAACTTTCACCAAGTAGAATACTTAATTTTGCCACCAACACTAATTATTATTATGATACTATATTGTCAACACACTCTACYGATTGTTAGTATTATTATTTTTTTTTCTGGTTTTACGTAATTTATTGATATGTATTCGAAGCGCCACAAATGATCGAGAGGTAAACAATAGTGTACCTAACAATATAGTATAATTATATATATTATAGTGTAGTATGTACGTAACGCGATTAGGAAACGTTCGAGAAATCTCGCCCCGTTTATGTCRTACAATATTATACATCATAACATAWTATAATAATTGTATTAATCTTTGTAATTTATAGGTAGACTGTATAAAAGTTGAATAAGTGATATTATGAAAACTATTGATACCTAAATTTAAAAATCTTAAGAACTTGATAAGTGGGAAATAGGTGAAATTTATAATATATTATGAACTTCTATGAAAAACAATTTAAATTGTTTCAAAAATGAATTGCAGTTTGAAACTAAGGATTAAATRTATGAGATAGATGTATTTTTTTAGTTTATTTAAATACTAATTAAAATCATTAAATATTATATTGCACACACCAATCACGGTCAATGACCTTTGCAGTCAAGRCCTTGTATGTATAATAATTWAAAAAAAAACATTTGGTAGAAAACATGATATTGATTGGTCAATAGGATACGGTTAGGTAAACCGAAAACATAAATATTAAAATAATAAAAAAATGTTCTATATATGTAGCTAGTGATTTATATTAACCTAATATAAGACACTTATTATAATCTCATCGCGGGGAGGTTTTTTGGTTTAAAAAAAAAAAAGTTTTTATTGTATTACATCAAAATATTGTAATATATTTCCTAAACTAATAGTAAAATACTACATACTACACAGTACACAGACATTTTAAGTGGTTTTGCGGTATTGTGTTGGACTGCAGGTGATCATGGGCCAACTACGATCTGGACAGGAGTTTGACTTTTCTGGTTCAACCGAACCTTGTGTCGTGATGAACCTAACCAGAGGATCACTACGGCCCAGCACGACGATTGACGAAGGGGCTATTGAACGGTATGTGTCAGCCATCAGTGAATACTTGCAAAACGTGCTAGGAGTTCCCAAGTCCAGGTATTATTTACATCTTTAACAAATAGGTTAGGTTAGGTTGAAATATAATCCATACGAATAATYATATAATAATAGGCGCATGTAAACTCTACCACAATATTAACAATTCGTCAGGGGAAAAAACATAGAAAATTGGGTTCATATAAACTTTGCCAGGGAAAAAAATCAGGTAGGTAAACTTGAGTTCATATTAACTCTGGCAGTGAAGAAAATTAAGTAACAGTATGTAATTAATACCTATAACATAAAAAATAATTTTAYARCAATAATCATCCGGTTGGGACATGTTAGTTTCATACCATATACAAAACACCTGCAGTAATAACACATGCAGAGTGCCAGAGTATAGCTTGTATTGCAGAATGGGTCAGTTTGAGGGTTTTATAGACACACATAATATTTGGATACCACGGGACCAAACCGTAATCATTATATTATATTACTAGATAATAAGCTCATGCATTGTCCAGTAACGATTTTGTTAGTTTTCAAACACCGTAGAAGCTATTGTATAAATTAACCCGATTGGGTTAGAGATAAACTCTACTAATTTTTAAAATGAATAAACTCTCCCGGGTCAACGTTATATTTATCTATGTTTTATTTTTTTAGAAATAATGTCTTCGACAGCTTAAGTGATTAATCGTTATAGCCTACAATGTATAAAATCATCATATATGTGTGATGTGTTTTATAATATTATACATATTATACATTTTTATTATTTACTATAATTTATTTATATAATTGGCTTTATAAAAATTGTGTTTATTTATGCCATTATAAAAATTAAATTTAAATAATTTTATTAGTATCTATTGACTGTAAAATTATAGCCAAGTTAAAGCTCAGCTATACCTTGTAATTAAAAATGTAAAACAAGGTTTCACGTAAGTAGTTAATTCTATAACTATACAAGCACAGTTTTTTTTTATAGTTTTTATTTTTAAATTTTTATAGTAAAATTGTATAGACATTTTGTGTTATACAATAATATTATAATATTGTATCAAAAAACTTCAGACAGAATTATATGCGAGAAGCAGCAATTTATACAATACTGTATAGAAACATTCAAACATGCTGTAATAGTATCTATATACAGTTCATCCATAATGTCATTCATCCATATATATATATATACAATATTTAAATGCTGTTTTTTTGACAGTAATTTAAAACAATTTCCATTTAAGGGCATACATTTCTTATAAATTTTAGTTAAATAAAACCGTATTTAGTTGTTTGACTAGTCACGGCAGAATTAACTAGGGTACCTAATACTGTAATAGGGACTTTTGTGGCGTACCTTACGTACATAATATATTACATAACATTACCAACAAACATTATAAAAATGTGTTTTATCTGTGACAATTATATAGTTATATCATAATATTATGACGTATCGACGTTATTTTAATACAAAAACTTAGTAACTTAACTTAGAAACTCATGCAACGATTGAACCTTTGACCCGACATTAAAATATATTCATAGAGATAAATTACCACCACCCTATGAAAGGATGATGTATATAAACTTCAAAAACTATACAATTCAATACGATGATTCACATACGGTGTATAATATTGCATGTTACAAAATAAGTGGGTTTCAAAATAAATGTCTTTGAAATAATCAAATCATTGAATATCTATTAAATAAATATTYAAAAAGTACCTATATGATGTTAAATAAGTTATACGTTATATCATAATTGCGTTTACCTTCAATTATGATAATATTGATAAGTGTAACGTCATACAATATCAATATCACACCACCACTCTGTAGTCATTAGTGAATAATTTGATATCTTTGCATAAATGATTTAGGTGGGTATACATATTATTTTGAGTATATATTATGTTTTTTCTTCTTTAGATTTATCGTTGTTTGCTATTGAATTAACTAGTATTTAATGATGCAATATGATGTGTTGATACTTATCCATGCGGCATTGCGTATTATTCATTTGG